AAGAGTGCAACACTGTTCCTTGCAGCCGAGGGAGAGGTCCTCTCTTGTCGAACAGTGTTTGATCATTATGGGTTGAGATGTTAAGTGTGAGGGTAATACCTGATGGGCTAATCTTGCATCTGCCCACAGTCCTTGGGTTTTTATAAGGTGGTTTGACCCAGGGACCATTTAGTGTAAATGTTGGGCCTATTAAGAGCCCATGGTGATGGACTCAGGGCTTCACTATCTCCTATAGTGTATTCGGCCAAGCCTTGTAACAGAGGCTGGGCTGGACCCATGTGGCTGATGTGTAGATCAATATTTGGGTCCCACGCCATACAAGGATACCCAACTGGGCAACAGTTTGGAGGAAAAGTGAGCACATGGACTTAATGGGCCTAAAGCCCAATTCGAACTAGTATAATATGATTATTTAAAGAGGGGTGGTTCTGGGATTTAGATTAGGAGGGTTGATCTTTATCTGCAGATAAGATAAGGGTTGATTCTTATCTCTTAAAGAGAGTCCAGATCCAAATAAGATTTGGATTAGGAAACTCCTAATGGGATTAGGAGAAGTTCTCTTTAAAGCTATAAATAGAGGAGGAGGGCGAATCCTACTGCACCCAATCAGATTACAGATTCAAGAGAGAAGACAGCTCCAGTTAGATTGACGCCATCTTCTGCTCTTGCCTCCTCCTATTACTGCCGCCATTGCCAGTTCGATCTTCACTTGTAGGAGCGATCAAGAAGCATTCTTGATATCAGTTTTTGGTGAAAAACTGATCTGAAGTCATGTTCACTCACCCTCCATTGAATTCTTGCTGAAGAGTTCGGTTCTTGCTGAAGAACCACCTGCTGATTCTGCTCCACCCTACGTTGTGTCATCTTCAGTGGGAGTAGTCTTTGGCGTTTTCCTTGGGCGTGAACACCTTCGTTGGGAGTTACTGTTACTCTGTATCAGATACATCCCTCTCCTACCTTTTGGTTTCAGATCTGGTCCGGTTTAGGTTCAAGATTGATCCTTGAAAATGCAGTTTTCTAAAATAGGGAATGTGATTCCCATATGGGAGAGAGAATTTTTTTTTGAAATTTCTCCCTACCTACCTGCAGGGTTTGGCTATCCATATGATGGATCTCTCATCCCTTCAAGAGAGAGAGAGAGAGAGAGAGAGAGAGAGAGGAGCTCATTGTTAGAGAGAGACACGACCTAGTTCTAGTGGCACCGACTGCCAGTGCCTGAGTTCGAAGAGTGAAAATGGTGCACCTAGGTTCGTCGGTTTTGAGAGTTTGAGAGTAAGAAACGAGAATGAGAAGAAAAGTGAGAAGAAGTTAGGGTTAGGGTTAGGAGGTTTATGAATTCAGGGTTTAAATTATATAAAAGTTGGGTCGGATCGGGCTCAGGCCGGGTTTTTTTGACAAATCCCGAGCCCGGCCCAGAAATTCATGCTCAAGGTCGGGTTTTTTAGGCCCTAGGTCAAGCCCACGGGCTAAAATTCATGCTCAAGCTCGTCCGGGGGCCGAGCCGGCCCGTTGAGCTACCCGACCCATGAACAGGTCTAGTGGTGGGTAACCTTCCATTGGCTTGACTTTTGGGTAGGGGTGAAACTTGGGCAAGCCCAACCCAAGCCCGAACTGGCCTTAGCCTGTAATTTTATATGGGTTGGGCTTTGATTTTCAATCCTCAAGTTGGGCTTAAACCCAAGAAATTGGTTGTTTTTTTTATTTTTATGCCCTTAGGTAGCCCAATCGCAGCCCAACTATACACATATGTATAAATATCTTAATTTTGCATACATATTTGCACACATTTATATACATACATATTTACTTATTTACATACATATTTGCATAAATACATATATACGTATAATTTTAGAGTGGGATCATTGACCAATTCGAGTTCGATTCGGGCTCGAGCCCAACTCAAGTGCATCAAATTATAGTGTGGGCTGGGCTCAGGTTGGGAAAGTTGGGCTTAACCTTGGGCTCAGTCCAAGCTCACACCTTAAGCCCAAATTTTAGTGCCAGGCTAGGGTTGACCATAAACCTGGCCCAACCCACCTGACTTGCACCCATACTTTTGGGTGAATTTTGGATATAATGGGGTGCTCGGCTATGGGGCACTAATGTGAACTACTATCTAGGAGATGAGATCTTCTGCCAACAAAACATGTTTCAACCCTTTACCAATTTGGAGCCTAGATCTCTTGCCCACGAAAACCCTGCCCACGTCTATCACAGCCACACATGGAGAACATCTCATCCTCTACATAGTATTATGTAGGGGGAGATGTCCCCAATTCACGGGGGGTGGTGTATTGTGGGTAGGCGTGGACAGGAGATCCAGAGTCACCAATTTGATCTAACACCGCACATCTCATTATAAGACTGGGACCCACCACAAAAGTGGGACTCGTCATATATGAGATGCATGGTGTTAGATTATGTTGGTAGAGGGTTGGAACATGTTTTGTTGGCAGGTGATCCAAACTCACTCCCTATCTAGGGCCAACAGGTCCCTGAATTTAGCACGTGGAGGGATCTTTAAATTCTACCCTTTGTTCATAAAGCCCACAAACTTTGCCTACGTTTACTCACATAACATCGCAGCCACATATAGAGAACATCTCATCCTCATGTATAATATTATGCTGGGAGAGATGTTGCCAATTTCATTGGGGTAGTGTATTGTGGGTAGACGTGGGCAGGAGATCCGGAGTCGATAAAACCAATGATGCCCAACTAGCCATACTCATACGGCCATACCAGTGAGAGCCTGCATATCCCTGGGTTTGATCCCGCGTCTCCTAAATGGAACGAGGGCTATTCGTCTATGCGATGCGAGTATGGAACCATCTCGACTCTTGTCTACAGACTACTGCATAACACTGGGCTGAGTTTAAACCTAGGCCCCGCCAACTTGGCCCTTGGGCCAGGTTGATTCCAGCCTGGTATAGCTCGGTCCGATGTCATCCCCAAACACAGCACAACTAAACCCTACTGGCCGTTGGCCGGTTTCTTTGATTTTCTTTGTATGTAGCTTTGGCCATTGGCCAACTCTAGTCGTCCATCGAACAGCTTCGTTAACTCCGCTGGCGCTAACTGAAGATTTGCCTACACAACAAGCTTAAATGCATGCGTTCTCTCTGTACTAATATTATAACCTGCGCACCCTACCGTTACATCCGCGGTCTTTCACTCTCTCCGATCTCCACAATGTCTTCACTTCTTCTTCCATCGATTTCTCTGCAGAAGCTATCTCTCAATGCTTCGGAATCCTCCAAGAGCTGTAGCTCGTTTGGTTTTTCCTGTTCCAAACATGGAATTCGAAGCTTTAGTCCTAAAAATCTGGAAAAATCTAGAGTCTTCATGAGCGCTTCCGTTGGATCTCAAACGGCTGTTGATGACACCCTGTTTCTGGATTATAAGCCCTTGTGTGCATTTCTATTTCCTGGTCAGGTGGGTGAGATATGATTCTTTATATTTTTTACTCAATTTATTACTTATTGGTGTAATCAATTGTAATTGATAGATTGTGGAGAATCCAATTGCGAGAATCTGAACTGAATGGTTTCTTAATATGAAATGCATACTGTTGCTAATGGGATTTTATGGAGAAAAAACTGTTCTTTTTCTTTCTTCTGGGTTCTTATAAACTTATTGTAACTCAGTTTGATCAGCATTATTTTTTTCTTTTCCTTTAAACATTGCTCTTCCGAGTTCCGAAGAGGTGTAAACAATTTTCTTGAAAGAAAAGAATCCATATTTCCTAGGCTAATGGTACTAGACGCAAATTGTAGCTTTTTACCTTGTTTAGCGCTTTACTTCTGTAGTTATTATAGAAACACAACAAACAAGCGGGACCACAGAAGAAAAACAAAGCAAATATACTATAACTAAAAATAGCTATGCGCAAAACACACAAAGATACAAACATAAACACACAATATATCTCTTAAACCACACACACTCTACTTAACTTAGAATTACACACACTGACCTTACTTACAACCGTAGGGGGTTAACCCCTATTTATACTTGTGTTCCACCGCTTTCAGAGGTGGTTTTAATGTTTTATGGTTTTTATGTGGACCACGTGGGCCCTTTTTAATCCATGAATTAGGTCGGTTTCTAAACCGACTTAAAGAAGTCGGTTGCTGATTTCTTTCATCTGTCCCCTTCAGCAACGACTTCTTTCTTGTTAATCATCCAAAGTCTTCTTTTTGCTAGCCTTGAATCTCTTTTCTTGCCTTTTGCCATCTCTCACTTTGATAGGCACCTTCATAACTGGTCGGTTCTAAGTTGCTGACTTTTTCAGCAAGTGCAACATTTACATACTTGGGGTTAGGGCGTCTAACCCTAGTTGACCTTTGTAATTCTTGTCGTGGTTGTTCCTATAGCTCCTCCATTTGATTTGGTCTAATATTTTCAGCTGTCTTTTGCTCACGAACACCAATGCTCCATGGTCTTGGAGATTTTTGAGTATCAGTTGAGCTAGGTTGGGGCTCTAGATCTTCTTTCTCATTTATCTTCTCTTGCAAATTCTCTTCCATAATTTCAAAATTGGGTAGTATGATTCTCTCAGATGACCACCAAGACGTAGCTTCATTGAATGCCACATTTCGAAATGTATAGCAACGATTTGTATTTGGATCACAACACCTCCATATCCCTTTCTTTAATTTTCATAGCCGAGGAATATATACCGAATAGCTTTTATTGAACTTGCTGCATAGATGGTTTGGCACAAATGCATAACATACACAACCAAATACGCAAAAGTAATTACTATGGGTCAATGATTTCATAACTTCTCATATGGTGAGAGAAAGCCAAGTGATGCTTGCGGTAGTTGTTATGGTCCCGCGCGTAGGATCTCGTCACGGTCGGTAGAAAGCCCTGCTTTCCCTTGCTCCTTCCCTTGCGTGCAGACCCTATTGTGGAAAACCGAATGGGTGATTTGTCTAAGAGACCACCCTAACTCTCCGAATGGGTGATTTGTCCAAGAGACCACCCGAACTCTCCTCACTCTTTTC